GCCTTAATGATGCTGCACATTTATAAGTAACTAGAAGCTCTGTAGTAATTTCTACTTGTTTCCCTTTCTTCTTCCCAGCACACTGAAGAAGACTTCAAGGGAAGGTTCAAACCTCGTCCGGAACTGGAAGAACTGTTGGCCAAGCTGAACTAGCTCTTGCAGATCATTTCATGATGGCACTGATGATACTGCCAAGCAGAAAAGCTTCCTGGGTAGATAGACCCAAGGTGGAGGAAAACCTGACCCTTAGGTTTTATTTTTGCCTTTTCCTACAAACAGGAATGTTTCTCTCCTCTGGCATGGTTGTTAATCAGTTGTTACCACTTACCTTTGAGATAATCTGGAGTGTTCCTTACCTAATAAAAATCTGTGGCTACTGTAACCTCAGGTGGTGGTGGTGGTGGGATGTGAGTATGTCGGGTGGGAGGTTAGAGGGAAAAAAGCCATCTTGTGTAATTCTTTAGTTAAAGGGTTCGACTTTTTCTTTGACTGATGCTTGAGCACAGAAACATGTTCTCTTCCATTTTTTCGTTTTTCTTTTTTTTCAGAGGGGATGCTTATTTTTGGTGGATAGGTTCTCTTGTACAGGTTACTCATAAACTTGTAATCCCCCTGCCTTAGCCACTCAAGTGCTGACATTACATGCCCAGTTCCATATTTCTTCTATTATAATGTACTCATCCTTTCAAACAGTCTAGCATGGAACTTTTCTTTCTTTTTTTTTTTTTTGTCTTTTTCCTTTTTATCGGTACCGGGGATCGAACTCATGACTGCCTGCTTGCAAGGCAGGCACTTACGCCGCTGAGCTAAATCTCCAGCTAGCATGGAACTTTTCAGTGAAGCAGGGATCACAGCATAAGTAAACTGTCTGTATTAGTCTATTTTTTGTTGCAATAATGAAATACCTGAATATGACTTCTTTGTAAAGAAAAGAGATCTACTTAGCTCACAGTTCTGTGGGTCCAAGAGAACAGCACCAGCATGAGCTTGCCTCAGGTGAGGGCACCCTTGGCTGTGTCATAATATTGCAGATGACATCGTGCAGAAACACATGAGAGGGGGAACAATCATGTGGCAAGACAGGAAGCCAGAAAGTGAGGAAGAGTTTTGCTCTTTTGATATTCACTCACTTTTGGGGAAGAGAACTACAGTAATCTTTTCCCATGTCAAAGCCCCTAATGATCTAAATACCTTCTAGTAGGTACTACTTCTTAGTGGTTCCATCACCTAAAATCGCCACAATGGAGAGATCAGGTTTCCAGCACATGAACCTTTGGGGGTCATACTCAAACTATGTCCAAATCATAGCATTTTCTGTGAATAAAAGCCATATACAAGGAAATTTTAAACATCTATCAAAGACTCTCCAGAGGAACTGAGATCTTTCCATCAGCAAAATAAATTGCTCTGTGGGTTACTGAGTGGCTGACATAAGAATTCAAGTACTACAAAAGTTACATAACTTAATTACGTTGCCTGCAATGCATTTAAGAATGTAAGGGCTCGGGGCTGGGGGTTTAGCTCAGCGGCATAAGCGCCTGCCAAGCAGTTGTGAGTTCAATCCTCAGTACCGATAAAAAGGAAAAACTCCAAAAAAAAAAAAAAAAAAAAGGGCTCAATAAATGTGACATGTACTTCCTAAAAATTCTTTGAGGTTGTTGATATCCCAGTTTGGAGAAAACCGGTTTTCTAGTGATAGTGTGTTGTAACAGAAGAGAAAACAAAATTAAAAATAAAAAAATGAACTGGGGATTTGTCTTTGTGCCAAAGTCCTAGTTCAATCCCTAGTACCATAAAAACAACTTGTTTTCCTTGCTACTTGTCTCCTTTGAAGTACCCATAGCAGGGATCTTAGCATTTCACATATTCTTCTGAAATTTGTTAGTGTCAGCCCTTAAGTTTTTTGAGTTTTGTTTGTTTGCTTTCCAAGGTCAACAAGAAGACAGTGAGATTTTCTTTCAAGGTGTAACACTAAGGGAACACTGTCAAAATAGCAGGTGCCTTTAATTAAAATGTTCCTCTGAATTCAAATAAAAGGTTCAGCAGGCCGGAGCTTACAGGTGAATCCCACTGCAAGTGGGGCAGAGTTTTTCCAGTGAGGACTTATTTGTTGTAGAACTGCTCATTGCTGAGTTTCCTTGAGGGAAGAAAACACGAGCAAAAGCTAATGGATGAGTGAGAAGTGTGTGGGTGTGGGTGTGATATAAAGATACAGAAGTAAATACAAGTAGCACCCTCTTAGCACATGGGTAACAGCAATGTCACATGGATTCCATTTAGGAACCTTTAAAACACATCAGTCTCTTCCGGTTGGCCAGTTTTTCTGGTTATCAATATGTGGAAGCAGGATTAAAGATTTCATAAATTGACAAGGAAGTTGAAAGACTTTAGACCTTGCCAGCCTGTCTCTATTAGCAAGTGCAGATTAAGGCCAAAAGCAATGCTTTGTCCAAGATCACAGGGCATCTCATTAGCAGGGTGGCCAGAGCTCCCATTCGCCAGTCCATCCCTTTGCATTTCATCACTAAGGCATGAGTCTGGCTTATTTCTTCAGTAGGAGGTAGCTGGGTTCTATCACCTTGAAACTCTTGTGTCACTGACCTAGCTGATGATATATCTTCTCATTGGAGTCAAAGGGCTTTTATTGCTCATGATTAGTAAATTGTTCTTAATGCCTCATCCTCCTAGGAGGGACAGGAGACAGTCTGATTGCTAGAACTTCAGGGTTACAAAACAATTACAAGCTTCCTTTGCCTCTCTAGAGTGAGGCCCAAGGGGAAATAGACTTTCTTAAAATCACACAGCAGTGAAATCAAATGCAACACAAGTTTCCGGGCTCCAGGTTTAAAGTAAATACCCTTCTTTCTTGAGCCAGCCTCTTATAAGAAAAAGAGGCAGACAAGCTGGGTTGTGTCGGGGCATCTCCATGTTTTGAGGTCCCTAGTGAGTATCTCTCTGTAGTAAGCGCTTTTAACCTTGATTTTCTGATCTGTAAAATGGTAGAATCACTTTTTGGCAGTTTGATATGTAGGTAAACTACAGGTTGGCAAGTGCTCAATAAATGTTAGGTTTGCTTCTAAACAACCATTTTGAGGTATAATTTACATATAGTGAGTCTATTTGTTTTGAAAACACATCTACTCACGCAACTCACACTTCAGTCAAGATACGAAATATTTCCATACCCCAGAAACAAATTCCTTAAGTTTTGCTTTTGTGTTTATTTTGTGGCCTTAAAGTCACTAAGTAGTGTAGGCTGGCCTTGAACTTGTAGAGATCCTCGTGCTTCAGCCTCGCAAGTGCTGGGAGCATAGGTTGCACCATCATTTTAAAGAACCAGCAAGCCATTTAAACAGAAAGCCGCACCTGAAGAATTAAAGTCCCTTAACTGATAACTGCTAAGAAAGGAAGAATCCTTCTTACTTCCTTGGCCTGCTTTATATGTGCTCTGTCATTTGTAACTCACCCCCCCAGTTCATTTAATGTTTTTAGCAGGCCAAAGAAGTGGGAAATATCGGGGCTGGGGATTTAGCTCAGTGGCATAAGCGCCTGCCTTGCAAGCAGGCTGTTCTGAGTTCGATCCCTGGTACCAAAAAAAAAAAAAAAAAAAAAGTGGGAAATATCCCTCACTGCGCTGAAGAAACACAGCTGGATATAGTGGTACCTGCTTGTAATCCTATCATTCTGGGATGTTGAGGCAGGATCCCAAGTGGGAGCCCAGCCTGGAAAACAGTCTAGTGACTGTTTTACTAATCACAAATCTTTCACTAGTGTGAGTTTGTCTATTTCTCCCTATTCCCAACAACACTGGTCCCTATACTTTTGTCAGTTTGAATTTGTAATTCCAGCTACCAAGGAAGCTAAAGCATCACTAACACCACAAAAATAAAACAAAAACTGTCATTAGACTCACTTAGTACACATTTACATTTTCTTTCATTTTGGAGTGTTACTTTTTTCTCTAGGTGCTTTTTATTCCAGATGGTAATTCTTTCTATTCTAAGTGGGTAAATTCTACTTCATTTTTTTTTTTTTTGTCTTTTTCTTTTTTATCGGTACCGGGGATCGAACTCATCACTGGCTGCTTGTAAGGCAGGCGCTTCTGCCGCCGAGCTAAATCCCCAGCCCCTCCACTTCATTTTTAAAGGTTTAACTCCTCTCTCTCATTTGAGTCTTGCTGACAGCTGCAGTACACTGCTTGATCTCTCCGATGACCATAGCGCTGAGCACAAATGGGCCTGCAGAGATACATCTTTGCCATATTTCCCTGCCCATCCTCATACTCAAATAGGATTTTATTGTTTCTTAAACTCCTCACATTTCCCTTTTATTTCCTTTTTCCTAAAATAGCAGCACAAAACTCAAAGCAGATTTCAGGGCCTACTATACTTCAGATTTGGGCTTATAAAATCTAAGTGCTAAAGAAATGTTTGTTACCAACGATGACAGCATTCTAGCTTCTATGGCAGGGGTCGTACACACCCCTCCTTCCAGCCTGCTTTCTATTCCCAAATGTCTGAGAGATACACAGGAAGGAAACAAGGGTGATCTTGAACAATCTTGATATGACGGCAAATATTATGAACAGAAAAACATAACCCCGACAGGAGGCATTATTCAGCTCTGGCAAAGTGTCATCATGTAGGGATATAAACTCCCATCTTGCTGACAGCTTGTCTACTTTTCAAAAGCTGAAGATCTGTTTTTGTTGTTTTTTCATACTGGGGACCTAACCCATAGTGTTCTACCACCTCTGGGCTACTTCTTCAGCCCATTTTATTTGAGACAGGGTCTCCCTACATTGCTTAGGTAAGACTAGAAGTTGGAGCCTTCCTGCCTTAGTCTCCTAAAGTGCTAGGATTTTAGGCATGTGCTACTGCAGGCCAACTTCGTATATACTCAAAATCTGTTTGAAAAGTAATTTTCCTGTTTGCATTCTCCCTGTAAAACTGATGAACATCCATAACAGGTGACAATAAAGGTATTCATCATTTTGGAAATTTAGTTGTTCCAGTTGTTTTATTTCAATCCCTCAAACTCAACTCCAAGCAATATGAAGGCACAGGTCACATTATTCCTCACATTAGTTCCAAAATTGTGCCTCAGAAACACTTGCTGTTGTTCAACCCATGACTAAAGAGACAGACCTGATTAGATCTTTAGGTTGTGAATTTACTTCTAAAATTGAAACGTTCCTATAATCATCTCAGACTTGGCACACTGACCCAAGAGGTGGTATGGAGGGTAGCGTATCCCTTACCACTCTTGTGTTTTCCAACGCAAATATGGGTGGGACAAGATGGTTGAAAATGTGGGATATCTGACCATTAAAATATGACAGGTCTTTTTGACAGCCATGTCCAAACTCCTGATGTGTGGTTCTCAAGCCTATTCCCAAAGACTATTTACAAGTTTTACACCTCCTGGCTCATACTTTAGAGTTTCTTCCTCCTGTGATCTGTCTGGGTGCTGATTTTCATCCTCTTGGAGCAGGTGGTGTCTCAGTGGTGGGCACTGGCTTGTTCTTTTCTTCTCTGCAGCTCCTCCCGTCTCTTGGCCTGCTGTTCGCTCATGCAGTCCCTGAAGGCCTGCACCTGTGGTTGGCACTGCCGCCAGTCCTGGTGCTCTGCCATGCACTCTTGCACTGCCAAGTGCGCAGCAGCACAACCAGAACGGGAAATGAGCTGGTCCAGTGGATCTTCTTCTTCCTCTTCCTTCTTTACCCGTCGGGCCCAGTTATGGCCTTGAGGGACTGAGGCTGACATCCTGAGGAGTCTACAGACAAAGTTTAGAATACAGCTATGATTATATAACATTCTTATATTGTAAATAGCACCAACCAAACTATTCTATTATAGCCTGCTTGTATGTTTGTCTCCCCTCAAAGGCTGTAAGCTTTCTGAGAACAGACAGCGAGCCTGTTTTATTGTGGTGCCTTAGCAGCAGGTCTGGCAAAGAGCAGGCTTGCAAAATTAGTGGATTTGAATGAACAAAATAGAGTACATGAAAATGCTTTACATAGCACTCAATAAGCTCAATGGGTTCTACTAATGGAATATAAATTATGTCAAGGCTCATCTTTCTGGAAAAGCCATCTCTGATCTACTTTAAAGAAACTTTTCTTCTACTGGCCTTATTCTATGCTTGAAGAACAAAATTTCCATCTTTTTCATTTCTTCCTACTCCAGGCCCTGGAAGGGCACCCACAAAGTAGGTTTTGACACATAGGAGGAAAGGATAGAGTTCAATATGGCTGCAGCATAAACCACATAGAGGTCAGCACAGGTCATGAGTCTATGGGGTAAGGGAGAGCATTTTCTCAACTATTCCCAAAGGTGACACATATCTGTATTTTCCTAGACTGTTTTCCCAACATCATCTACTTCAGAACACCCAAAAGAAAGCAGCAAGAAAGAACTTAAGGAAGATTGGAATAGGGGCTGGGAGTTTAGCTTAGCAGTCTAAGTACCCACTTGGCAAATGCAAATTCATGAGTTCGAGTCCCAGTACCAAAAAAAAAAAAAAAAAAAAGAAAGAAAGAAAAAAAAGAAAAGAAAGATTGGAAGAAAAATGACTTTAGCCTTTGCACTAAATTAAGTCATAGTGGATGGTAAAGAGGACTCCTTAATTCTTCTCCTGTGACTCATTCATTCAAAAGATGTTTCCCTGGTGTTGGCTACTGAACATAGGATCTCACAGATGCTGAGCAAGTACTGTACCACTGAGCTACATACCCAGTCCTAATAAATCATTATTGGGTACCTATCATGTACCAGTCACTATGCTAGAGTAAACAATAATAATCAAGCCAGATAAGTTTCCTGTCTTCATGAATTTACAAACTAAACAAATAAATAGCTGTATTGGCAATAGTGAATACAGATGGCTAGGCCTGGAAACACAGTAAAAATATACATGTTACAGAGAACAGGAATAGGCAGGGAAAAATTGCTTAGCGATTTCTTTTGGGTGTATGTGTGAGTATGAATGTCTTAGAGAAGGGTTTTACTATGCAGTTCAGGCTGGCCTTGCACTCACTTTGTAGCCCAGGCTGACCTTGAACTCACAAGAGACCCTCGTGCCTCAGCCTCGAGTGCTGGGATTATAAATGTGCACCACCATTCCCGGCTGAGATAGTGATTTCTAAGCTAAGACTCAAGGGATGAACAGGAGTTAAGAGATGAGAATACTTTTGGAATATAAGAGTGAGACAAAATGTGACATGAGAAGAATCAAACCTTCAGCGACAGCAGGGCATGGTGGTGCACACCTATAATCTCAGCCTTCTGGGAGGCTAATGTAGAAGGAGCACAAGTTCCAGATCAGCCTGGCAACTTAGTGAGACTCTATCTAAAAAAGACAAACAAACTTTAAAGGGCTGGAAATGTAGCTCAATGTGAATGCAGTGGGTTCAATCCCCAAGACTGCAAAAACGAATGAATAAAATCCAGTGATTTAGGTGCAACTCATAGCAGAGTGCATATTCAACATGCAAGAGGCCCTGGGGTTGATTCCTGGCACCACAAAAAGCAAGCCAAATAAAACTTCCAGTGACTCAAGAAAATTCTAGAACAGAAGAAAAAATAAAAATTAGCAAAATGACATGTGTCTGATAACAGAAAGGCTTTGCAGGTCAGGTTAAGGACTTTGAGGTTTTTATCTTGAGGACAATAAGGAAGTTGTAAGAGGGACTTATGCACTCTGTATCTCCACACATGTTTTTGAAAGCAGTAAAATTTAAGAGACAGAAAATGCCTTTGAAATAAACTGGGCATGGTAATGCACACCTGTAATCCTAGCATTTGGGAGGCTAAAGCAGAAAGATCACCACATGAGTTTGAGACCAGCCTGAGTGACATAGCAAAACCCTGTCTCGAATGAATGAATGAACACAAAATAGAAACAATCAAGGATTTAACTCTAGCTTTGTCACTGCTTCCTTTGTTCTTACACAGGTCAGTTAGTAATCTTTCTTGAAAAAGAGATGAAAAGCAACTGGTATCCAGTTCATTAAATGATGATTCCTGACAGGATGTGGTGGCACCTGTCTGCAATCCCAGGGCTGAATCAGGAGGATCACGGTGAACAAGGCCAGTCTGATCTACATAGTGAGTTCAAGGCCAGCCTGAACAATAGCAAGACCCTGTCTCAAAACAAACAAAAAACGGTTGTTCCTATTAGTAAACGTTTTGTCTTCCTGAATACACCGAGCTCCTTAAAGACTGGGAGAAAATCTTTTAGAGCAAAAACGGTGGACAGAAATGCTTTGAATCCTAAGCCAAGAGATGCGGGTTCGAATCCCAGTCATGTTTATCGGATAATCCTTTAAGCCTCCCCATAAATAATACTTAACTGGAAGAAACAGAATTAAGGTTAAATAATGAGTAAAAAGTGCTTTGGACTACCACAAACCTAAGTCTATGACTAGTTTTCTCCCACCATATCCTGTTTGCAGTTTGCCCTAGTCACATGAGGACGACCTTCAGAGATCAAGGCAGGTTAGATGGTTGGCAGATGAACTGTGGAAAGCAATGGATGGGCAAGCAGAGAAACCCAAGGACGCAGATCATTAGAAGCGCCTGTCCCACTTTGAGAGGACGTATGCGCGTATGCGACAGTCCAGCGCACTCTAATGGTGTCCGCAGTGCCTCCCCGCGGTGCTCACCCAGATAGGTGGCAGACAAACACCCGAAGCACGTTCGGCGCGTCGGCGAAGACTTTGCAAGAAGTTAGCAGTCTTCCGTCTCTCTTCCCAAACACCAGTGCCTTGTGGGAGCGCGCACACGGAAGGACGTGAAATCCCGCTGCACATTGTCATTGGTGTTCTCTCAGTTTAGGTCCCGCCCTCCATCCGCGCCTCGACTGTTTTGAGGCGCTCACATCCGGGAAGGAACGGAAGAGGCGGGCTAGTGGAGGCGGGGTCAAGATGGCGGCGCCTTTGAGGATTCAGAGCGACTGGGCCAAAGCCCTCAGGTGAACGTGACTGCAGAGAAGGGGCCGAGGAGGCGGGTAGTGAATGTTTCCTTTACATCAAGAGAAGTCATGTTGGCCCAGGACACCCATAAAATTGCCCCATCAATTGTCGAAGGAACTGGAAGTCACAGGGTCCAGAAAAAGAAGCTCAAACCCCCATGATCATGGGCTTTTCGCTGTGAACAGCTGTCCTGAGGCCGAGGGAACACGTATGCGCTGTGTGATTCGTGCGTCAGAACCAGAATTAATGAGTTGGAGAAAAGAAATTGGGAGCCAGTAATACTCTTGGCCTAAAAGTCATCTGGAAAGTGTTTATTGATCATTAGTTATTTGCAAAAGTTTTAGTACTCATCTGTGTAATTAAGTTTGAACTTCCTAACTGTAACGCTACGTTAGACATAATGGGCAACTATTCAGGAAACTGTAATACCTACCATGTCCACGCCCTGTACTAGATGCTGGATGGAACTCACATATGTACCCTTATTCCTGCTCTTCAAGGAGCCGATGTTTTAACTGGAATTGCACAGCAGTCTATTCATTCACTTAATTTATATTTATTGATCTTATACTGTGACAGACGTTTCTCTGGGCAGCAGGATGAATATGTAGTGCCATAAATGATAAGCATAAAAATTTATAGAATTGAAACAATGGTGAAAACGAAGCATATCCTTCTCCTCCTAAGAAACTTGTAACTTAATGTGATTCTAAAATATAACATGAATTATTAGAGTATAAAATGTGATACATAAAAGAGCAGTAATTTATATTAAGTGCAACAAAGTGCGTAGGAGAAAGTGTAGAGTCCAAATCAAGACAATTAAGATTATACAGTTGTGATCAAGGGTTGCTATCAATCTAGACTTTTTTTTTCTTTCCTTTGTGGTACTGAGAATTGAGTCAAAGCCTTTGCACTGAACTACATCCCACCCTCCCATCCGCTGCTTTTTTTCAAAATTTTGAAACAGGATCTTGCTAAGTCTCTGGGCATGAACTTGTGACACTCCTGCCTTAGCCTCCCAGAGTGCTAGGATTACAGGCATGTCCCACCACACTCAGTTTACATCTTTCTGTTTTCAAAATGTAGGCCCTGACTGTTAGGGTACAAAGATCAAGACTTGGAAGATTGATGGGTGCATTCTTAAAAATCAAAAGTCAGTGTGAGGTGTTAGGTGAGGTGCTAGAAAAAATGTATTTTATGGTGTATCTCCTTTCAATTCCTACTTAATAGCTCGGTGACTTTGGGCAAATCACTTCTCTCTTTTTTTTTTTCATTTTCGTTTTTTATCAGTACCAGGGATTGCAAGGCAGGCGCTTATGCCGCTGAGCTAAATCCCCAGCCCCTAAATCACTTCTCTCTGAGTTTCAGTTTTTAATGTTTAACATGGGGATAACAAAAATGTCTTGTTTGGTTGTTGTTAAGATTAATGATACTATTATGCAATGTGCCAAGCACAGAATCTGGTTTGCAATAATCCCATAAATATGTAAATATAAAGAATTTTGAATTTTTCAACGTGAACTCTTTGTTAGTGATGTATTTATTTAAATGGTGTTGCTATGCATTTCAGGCTGACTTAGCCTGTGTAGCCTGGGCTGGCCTCAAATTCATGGTGATCCTCCTGCCTCAGCCTCCCATGCTGGGACTACAGACATGTGCCTCCATGTCTGGTTGTTACTGAAAAGTATTTCATCATTGATATTAAAAATATCCCTGGTACCGATAAAAACGAAAAAGACCAAAAAAAAAAAATATATATCTCTACACATTAAGTACTTCAACAAGTAAACAAAATTGGATGTCTTAGAAGAATGTTTGATGAGAGGTTGATTAGATCATGTTTAAGTACTATGAACAAACTGGAAATTATGTGACCTTTTTTCTCCTTTGTACCAATGGCATCCTTTCAACTTTGTAAGAGCCTAATTAGAGTTTTGTTTGTCTTCATAGGAAAGATGAAGGGCAGGCCTGGCTGAGCTGTCATCCTCCAGGTAATGCTTATACATGTGTATGTTCTTCAGAGAAGGATTTACTACTCCTAGAACAGAGCTTCCACCTTCTGCCTGTCCAGCTTCTCTGCATGTGCTCATAGCTCTTTTGACATCACTGCCGCACATTCATTCCAGCTTTTCCATTTGGAAACCACAGCTGTTCATGGAATCATTGCCGATGTATCTGAATCAGTCCCTTAGTCTTATACTGTCATATTCTAAATTCTACAGATTTAGTTGTGACCTTACTGATGATAATTAGATTTATAGTGTTTCCCTAAGCTTTCTTCAGGTGCAAGCAGAAATTGAAGTTTGATAGACATTTTTGCTTGAAGTTCTCACTGTTGTATTGAGTAACTTGACTTACTAAAGTTCCTGGACACATTTGTAATCAAATGGATCCTTTTTCTTTTTTTTGGTACTAGGGATTGAACTCATGACCTTGCACTTGCCAGGCTTATGTCTCTGAGCTAAATCCCCAGCCCTTTGATCCTTTTTCTTGATTTCTCTTTTCTTTTTCTGTTTCAAGGATTGAAGCCAGGGATTATACTCTACACCTAGGCTACCTTCCCAGACCTTTGTATTTTTTATTGTGATGCCTCATTAAATTTTTTAGGTCGGCTTTAAACTTGTGATCCACCTGCCCCAGTCCTCCAAGTAGGGGAATTTTAGGTATGAGCTGCTACGTCTAGTAATTTTTTTATTTGTTAAGTTGCTGTCATTTTTTTAGGAATCAGACTGAAAACCTAATTACTTTACCAGCCTATACCCATACAGCTTCCAAATCTTATCATTTTTCCCCTTGAATAGCACCCCCGTGTTGTTCTAGCTGTTTAGTTCACTTTATAGCCAGTGTGGTACCATTCCAAAGCCAAACCAATCTTCCTTCTGAAGTGTGTAAGAAAGTTTTGTTTTACTGATTGTAATGTCAGATGCCGGTGTTATATTTTATTTCTTCGAAAAATTAAGTTTTAAACAGAGTCTTCCTTTAAGCAGAGGAAATTGGTGTTGCCTAGACAAGGAGAGGGTGGTAGCTAGAAGAGCTCAGAGGCATTGTTTTGTTTTTCAAAGATGGGAAGTTGAAGAAAGTAATTTTTAAAATGTAGACTGAAGTTAGGGGAGAGAAGGACTAACTGAAAACCCAATGTCTAAAGAAAAGTTAAGGAGACTGAATTAAGCCTAAGAGACTAGGATGAAGTCAAATGAAAGAGTAGATGTATATAAATGTGTGTTCATGTGTAAGTAAATATGAGGGAGTCATATATCTTCGGTTTCCTTGTGAAAGTAGAGCTAGCGTCAGCGCATAAAGGAAGAGGTTATTTTTTTTTTTTTGTAAATAACAGCTTTATTGAGATAGAATGTATTTTATCTTAATTACATATATTTCACATCCCTAGCAAACGCTCCTGTAATCCATCTTCTCTGTCAAGATGTCCACCCTAGATTGAGTTCCTTCATGAATTACCCTTCACTGATGCCTCCTTTTCTCTTGTTCTTTTCGACTATGTGTGCATATAGATGAGTGCCTTTCCCCTTCCTTTCTTTCCCTTTCCTTGAGATTTACTTTTTCTTTCCCATTTCTTAATCCTAGCCAGGACTCCTTTCAGAATCTCTAGAAAGTCTCCCTTGTGTGAACTCATGGTTCTCTGTTACTCCTAGAACTTGTGTTTCAGTGCAGCAGTTATTTAATGAGTAACTTAAAGCTGTTTCTAAACTCAAAGACTTGAGCCTAATGGAGAAGTCCAATATATAAATTGTGTTAACTTGTATGATCCTCCCACCTCATCCTCCCAAGTGCTGGGATTACAGGTGTGCACTGCCACACCAGGCTTTTGTTTTTTGTGGTTTTTTTTGAGACAAAGTCTTGCTACGTAGTTCAAGCTGTCCCCGAACTCACTACTTAGCCCATACTGGCATGGAACTCTGGATGATTCTTCTTCCTCAGTCTCCTGAGTGCTTAGGTTACATGTGTGTGCTACCATGCTCAACTGCAAAACATTTTTAATTTCACTCTACCATCTACATATATTTATAATAGTGATATTTTATTTAGGTGATATGACTGCTGAAATCAGTATTCCATTTAGGAAAATTTTCCAGATTAATGAAGCTTAATTCTTCACTATTTACTATGTATGTATATACTTTGGATAGATACATACACGCATCTTTTTTTTCCACTTTCATCCTAGAAGAATCCATCTCATGGCTAATAAAGCAGGTTGCTATCACTCTAGCAGCTTTGCTCCAAATGCTGTATCTTTCAATCTTTGTTCTTGACTTTTAGACTTTTAAATTAGATTTGCTCTTTCATCTTCACCTGACTTTTAATACAGGTATCCATTTTTATTTTATGGGCATACCATCTATACAGATGCCTGAATTGGGTTTTCAAGAAGCAAAATATTTTTTGAGACATGCTTCTTTTGTGCTATATAGGGAAACCATCTTTGTATGGCAGCCTAACTTGTCAAGGAATTGGACTAGATGGCATCCCAGAGGTTACAGCTTCAGAAGGATTTATTGTGAATGAAATAAATAAGGTAGGTTTTTATGTCTTCTAGATGGCAAATTATTTAAAACTATGGTCAGACCCACATACCTACTTCACATCTCTTTTTTTTTTTTTGTCTTTTTGAGAGAGGGTCTCACTATGCAGTTCAGGCTGGCCTCGGGCTCACTTTGTAGCCCATGCTGGTCTTGAACTTGCAATAATCTGCCTGCCTCAGCCTCCCGAGTGGTGGGATTAAGGAGTGTGCCACCATGCCCAGCTTACATCTATATCATTATCTGTGTATCTCTCTCACCCTCAGTTCATTTGTATAATAATTGTACTTTTTGCTACTTTTGAATGTTAAGAATTTTTTTTCTTTAGTTACATTTATTTTTAAATG